GGTGCTCAGGCTCGCTGACTTGGTTGACACATGTCATCGTATCCCAATTATGCACAACGATACTCTTGATGTTGATCACAGGACTGACTGGTCCAGACACGGTTACTTACAGATAGCTGGAATATTGCTGAGTGCGGCGTTAAACAAACAACCAACCAACGAACCAAGTATCTTGGGTCCCTCATCTCTTCAGTTAAATCCGACTGGAAAGGAGTTTAGAGATCATAAGCTTATACGAGTACACGTGCGTACGATGCATTTGAGGATGATGACTTTTTGTCAACTGGACGTCGACCCTATTACATTTGGTTAACCCAAGCTTCAAGTAAACCCATTAAAGAGTATCTGATGTATGCTTCATAGTATTTCATAATTACAGATTGTAATATGAACAACTGACTCCCCATATTTCTGATTTGAGTAAAAAAAATATTTAAAAAGGGTGCTGTCACGTGACCTCGATTTCTTAAAAATGGGACCACTTTTGACCACCACATCATGGCACTTCATAATCTACATACAATAAGCTTTCCATAGAGCTATAATATGTCCATACAAGAGATGGGGGCATTTAGTCGACTCTAAACCCTAACCTACTGCTCTCCTTCAAACGTTATAATGAATCTTTACTTTACTTTGGGATGTTTAGCGGTGTGAACAATTGACTTGTCTTTGCATTTGTTTGTGATGGGTGTCGCCAGTTGAGCAGGATACACTCACCCTTTCGTAATCACGTGACAGCATCATTCTCTGGTTAGCGATTAATAGCACCTATTCATGCGGTTGTGGATTATTTTACTAACGACGCACAGAACAATAGGATGTATGACCAATGTCATTAAAGGTTTATTATCCCTTTTGCGAATCTCAGGAGGACGGATTTTGTTCTGATAAAGCTATAAAACTATGAAACACAACCCTGAATCGCCATGTGTTGAGTTTCAGACAGCCTTATCACCCGCGCATCATGCTGAAGGGCGATAATGTTCACGACATGCTATAAATCAAACGATCTGATACTAATAGGTTATTATAGTGATATTAATATAGACATTAATATAATACAAGACTCGTTTGACGGACAGATTGTGAATAAACTTGAAACCTGCATGTCGTGAGATGCCTAGTGGATAAACAATCGGCGTGACACGGTGAATTAATGCCAAGTTCGATGTAGTTTGTATGGTGTTCAAACAATAATTCAGTCATATTTCGATGGGGACACAAGGAATGGGGTTTTCATGTATCGTACTTATGAAGGAAATCGAACCCAAAATAAGACCTGACAAGCGAATATCGAGACTAGAACCACTCAGCTGTCCCACTGCCCTAGCCTGACTATTTATTCGTTCCTTAACGCCCCACGCAACATTATCCCAGCTTTTGATGGTAGTTTGTAATTAATCGAGTCGGGACAAGACAATCCTATGAAATCCTAGAATGGACATTGTCGCGTTGTCGCATGGTCGCGCTTTGCCTCTTTTTGCTTGTTTTTGAGAGGGCGACAGTGCGACAACACGACAATGTCCCTTCTAGGATTCCATACTCATGAGCATGGCTACGCGCCTGTGGGATTCTTACGTCATCGATACACCTAACTGGGACTTCTTATGATTATGGAAACCTTTTTAAGGCTTATATTGGCGAATGTTGAAATCTAAAAGGACAAGGTATGATAAGGGTGGTTTTTGGCCCACAAACAGAATTGGCTGAACACATGTTATTTGTTTAGAGACAAGGTGGCTTTGCATAAAAAAGCTATTTTTTAAATGATCTGAGGCCATAATTTCAATGCAGAGGGGCCAAAAATGGGTTTTATCAGTTCCCATGAAAAAATAACAAGAAATCTGAAATATCAGTGTGCCATAATGACTTATACAACTATCAGTTTATTTACATACAAACAGTATCAGTTTTTGCAACAGGTATTCATGATGAAGAAACATGTCAACATCAATCACGGTTTTAACTTCAAGGGGCCCAATTAGGGTTGCAAGACATTGTGGACAGTAATTCACCACGGCCAAATTACAAAAAGCACATTATTCACAACTTTCTTTTGCAAACATAAACTATAGGTCAATTTTTACAACATGTACTTATGATAACCAATCATGTCCCACGAAAAATCACAGGGGCCCATTTTAGGTCTAATTACATTTTGGGCACAGCTTGATTTAATCAAGTAATGTAAAAAATCTGTTTGTATTCTCAAAACAGTGTCGGCCCATAAGTTTTCACATGCAATACAGCAATTAATACTCCTCGTTGTAACCCGTGTTAGGTGGTATAAACCTACACATGTTATTTGTCATCATTCACTTGATGGTCAGTTAATGAATTTATAACAGGTATAATTAGTGGTAACACACTTAGATTACCCGACAAAGGTTCCCATTTGGCATTTCTTGTGTCTGGAGTAAATATTCAACATTATAAACATCGATCAAAGGATTAACCGATAACACGCTGATTGATTAATTACTTTTATCTTACACAGCGGAATTGTCAAAAGGTAGTGTTTATACACTAATCTATACTGAATACACTCTGTCGTGTCGGTGTCTGCGTAAAAACAACGTCCTTCTTTCAAAGGATTAACCGGCAATACATTGATTGATTGCCTACATTATTGGCTAACTAAATTACTGTTTTAAAGAAAGGCGGACATTATGCAATTAGTTGCCAGGTGTGCTATCTTGGGTGACCAATGAGACTATACACCAATACCTGAAAAGATTTATCACTTTTTTCGTATATTAAACTGTTAAAAGACACATCATTTGGAACAGTTTGTGGATATTGATGGATACATTCCTCGAACAAGGTAATGGCCTGATATTGTTACTATAACTTTAATCTGTTTTAATTTTAATATTTGCATTTTGTTTTATTCATTTGTCGTAGCATTCAACAGAATCATTGTTTTCGCCGTGAAGTGTAATGAGACAGACAACATGCACTAGGTGTGTGTGCGAATTATGATTCACATTGGCAAACTATAAAATGTCTAGATATTACAGTTCTGTTATAAATTCACTATAAGTATCAGCAGGAGATCGTCTGCTTTTTATTTAGTTTCAAAATGCATACAAGTGTGATAATAAACTAATTAGGATTATAAGACCAAATATAAAGACGCACATTGACTAGTATCTACATACTGGTGAGTGGACATTAACCATGGGAATGTAGCAAGAAATTTATCGCGCAGTATTGTGACTTCGACCCCCACCTCGCTTCCGTGGAAGAAATCGTTATGTTATAAGTTGTGTCATGCAAAATCCGTTTGGTTATGATTCCAATACATATTTAACAACGAGTAGAAAGTAGTCTTGATTTTCTAACTTGATGAAAACAAACTATAATCTCATTAATTCTAACAGATTTTTTTATTTTTAAAAATGGCGGCGCCCTCTCGGGAACATCCGCCAGTCTGAGGATAAATGGCATTTAGGTTTGTTTTCACCGAGTTACAAAATCAAAACTACTTTCTACTGGTAGTAAACATATGTATTTTATTGATGGGCAATAGGAATTTGCATGACATAGCGTATATCATAATGAATTTCTCTCGTGTGCTGCGAGGTGGGTGTCAATCAATACTACTTACAATATTATTGTTACTTCGACCACAACCTCACTTCCGAGGAAGAAATCGTTATGTTACAAGTTGTGTCATAGAAAATCTTTATGGTCATCAGTCATATGCATATTTTTACTACAACTAGTAAGTATTTTGATTCTTTAACTTCCGTGAAGCGATCTGAACACAAGTAAGATATCGTTTCAGGCTTCCACAACGCTCGCTTCGCACTCACAAACATAACCCATTTAGCACGAACTGCGGGTCCTGTGGAAATCTGTGCATGGGGACACCATCGCCCGACCCTAGGAGCAATTGACGACAAAGCAACGATTCGGCATGTCGTCGTTGATGTCGAGAAATCATCAAAATGATGAGCGTGCTACACATTTTCTATACAACTAACTGAAAATCGTTCCTCATATGACGTCACTGCAGTGCTCTGGCGACAGAGTTACGTAACCTGTCTGTGGTTTCGTTGGCGGGCGAGAGGGAAGCAGGCGACTTTTTGGCCACTTTTAATCGCTCGGTATTAATTAACCACAAGTTTTTAAAGAATAAATTTGGTGTTCCGCATAAGACTAACCACAAACCTTTCATATGTAATGGTTAAAAGAGTAACAAAAAACAAAGTTTAGTGGTTCTTTAACGCCCCACGCAACATTATCCCAGCTTTTGATGGTAGTTTGTAATTAATCGAGTCGGGACAAGACAATCCTATGAAATCCTAGAATGGACATTGTCGCGTTGTCGCATGGTCGCGCTTTGCCTCTTTTTGCTTGTTTTTGAGAGGGCGACAGTGCGACAACACGACAATGTCCCTTCTAGGATTCCATACTCATGAGCATGGCTACGCGCCTGTGGAATTCTTACGTCATCGATACACCTAACTGGGACTTCTTATGATTATGGAAACCTTTTTAAGGCTTATATTGGCGAATGTTAAAATCTAAAACTTTAACTACCGTATAAAGCAGCTGTATAAACTCCCAATGTTCACATCTCGCACCAGACAATACAGGGGCGCCTGGTGGTTAAAGCGTTCGCTCGTCACGCCAATGACCCGGGTTCGATTCCCTACATGGATACAATGCGTGAATCCCATTTCTGGTGTCCCCGCCGTGAATTGCTGGAATATTGTTAAAAGCGGCATAAAACTAAATTCATTCACCAGACAATCCAGTGATTGACTTCCATGCAACGGGGACCTCGGATTATTATGGAAATGGTTTTGAGGCAAATATTGACAAAAGTTGAAATTCAAAATATCAGCCCTATATGAAGCACAGCTACATAAACTCCCACTTTACACATCCCGGCGCCAACGTGCACCAGCTGTGCATATGTTGCATGACATCACGTCGTCAGGTCTTGTTAGTTGTTATACAGCGCAAGCGTCAACCTGACATTTTCATAATCATCATACTGTAGTCATATCCACAGTAGCCGTCTACTTCACCCTAGCCGGTGGCCAACCCTAGATCAATATAACATAGCGTTACGTTTGGCTACAGAGGCAGGCTTTCATTTAGCATCCTTTCGTGGCGCTTACAAACAGTCAGTGTTCCCGTAGCCTGAGCACGTGGTGGAGGTGAAGTGCTGTATACTGCGTTGAGGAGTGTGAACGCGTGTGCTCCGCCAGTAAACACGTGCTGCATCAATGACGACGCTGTGTGCACAGAAGCTTCGCGGGAGTTCCATGTAGTTTCTTAATTCGGGATAATTACCGCTTCGGTGTTAATGTAAAATCCAGAAGAGTTTGAAGTTTAAAAACAGGAGGATTATTTAATAAGTGTGGATCGAAACCACGAATGAAACAGGATATATATGTGTGACTTCCGCAAAAACTGAGGTCACTTGGTGATAAAATGTATCACGTATATCAGTAACAGATAAATATTTGATTGATTGGATCTACAGTTCAGATCGAAGGTCGATCACATTGATCTGGACCCATCCCACTGACCACAGATGCGGAGAAGGTGTTGTTTATACCATACGCCGATGCTGCTGTCACAAACGCTGCACTGTTTCCATATCAACTCGATGCCACTTACATACAGCTGCTCATATTCGTACCGCGACATCAACAGCTGCTGATGCTGCTGTTTCCACGTGCTTCGTTGATAAGGAATGTTCTAATGCGCCTTGTGGAATATATCTGCCGGATACAAACTGATTCAGAATAACCAACTTGCGCAACTACTCGGCCGATATTGGATATTATTTGTGAATATTGAGTATTTCTAAAGGTCGGTGTGTTTTTTAAAGTGCCTGGCTGTTTTACAGAGGAAGACTCAGTTATCTGTAGGTGTTTTTCCTATTGTTCCAAGACACTCGTCACAAGTGTGTAAACTAATGCAAGTATTAGAACAAATAATTCAACGAGGAAACTGTTGCAAATTTTGCAATCACTTTTCAGTATAAGATTACATTTTTGCTTATGTACTAAAAAAACTGACACGGGACGTTTAGGTGAAGCTTATTGATATATTTCTTAATGTTATTCAATCACATCGGAAGAAAGCGAGTGAATAACCAACCAGTATGCAACGTGAAACTAACTTTACTCTCTGAAATATTCAACTGGTCACGCCTCTCAAAGGATATTTGTTTTAACACTGATTCTTCTTCAGCGTTAATACAACTCGGACCTTACGCAGGGATTCATTTATTACCAAGTGAAACACACTAATGACAACGTAAGGAAGTGAACTATATTTAGATGAACTGAGCTTTTGACTGAGGTGACAGTTTCGAATCGATTTCGGTGATTAAAGCGGCTCGCCGACCCACCTTTAGAAGCCATGGGCGCTAGCAACGTCAAACAAAATGGCACCCATCGTTCCAAAAGGCCGATGAACAACAGTGACTTGTTGGAGAACTCTATCCAAGACGAGTCTGATTTTCAGCTTAGTGAGGATCATAAGGAAATTCTTAAGGAGTCGTGGACAGGCCTCAAGGGAGATATTTCGAAGGTCGGGGTCATCACGTTTATGAAGTAAGTATTATTTTCATCATTGACACGATGGTTTGGATCGGTTTGAAATATAACGTGTCACGTTTGCTGCTGACGAAATCATCGCATTATGTCTGCACAATAGTCTGCCGATTTCTCCCAGCGATAGGACACGTTGGAGGTATCGGTTTGATAAACAGGCCCCAGCAAACCCATGCTTTTCACAAGAGGCGACTGTATGAATCAGTTGGTCAGGGTCCGTGGCTTGATTGGTGCTTGTCATCCTACCCATTGTCATTAATGCTCATGATGTCGATCATCTGATCGAGACACGATTGTGTTCAGACTGCAGTCATATCGCTCTTAAACTACACACAAAAAGTCAGCGGGGTGGCTCATAGGTTCAAGCAAAGCTCGTCACGCCAAGCATCTAGGTTCGATCCCCTATGAATACGTTGCGTGAAAAGCACATTATATTTTGTTCCCATCATGATATGTTTCAATTATTGCTTTATGATGGGTGAAGCCATGCTATCTAGATCGAACCCCGGCTTTAACTTCCTGACAGCCCAGTGCTTTATACACAAGACTTGTCACTGTGTGAAGGCTTCAGGTCATTTCCACAATCTGTCCGTCAAGCTTTCAATAACCCATGTTGGTATTATATCAGTTTATTTACAGTATAACTATAGTATTATAAGTATAAATTCATGAGTCCAGTGAAAATCCGGGTTAGAAATAATCTGAAGAAACCCACGCTTGTCATAAGAGGCGACTAACCGGATCGGATGGTCATGCCGATATATAGTATGCGAACTGCGTACGTTGATACGCATGATGTCAATCACTGGGTGATCTGGTCCAGGCTCGACTATTTGCAGACCGTCGTTAATTACCTGGAAAAACATAGGCGGATCCCAGATGGGGTGGGGTGTATGTGTGTGTACAGGGGTGCACACCCCAGCCCACCCCCCTTTGTCCTGAAAGTTTATTGAATGACCTTTGAAAACTCTCGAGAGGATGGGTGAAAATGAACTGTGGAGTCCATCCCCCCACCCACCCCCTTCTGAACTGCGCACCCCTCCTTTCTCAAAAGGCTGTATCCGCCCCTGCCTGAAGTGTTGCTGAATGCGGGGTTAAACAAAAAACGAACAAAATAAATAAAATAGTTCATGAACCTTCAATTGTATAAGTTATAACATCTCCGTTCTACCATGTTCACTACCACCCTTCAGTGCGGTGTTCGCATGATAAAGCTGTCTGAAAGGTTACAAATGGATTTGCAGAGATGTATCCCATAGCTGATTCATTCCCCCGTCTTAACTTTATCAGTACCACGTCGGTGCCTTTGTTAACATAACATATCCGACATACCGAATGTTAGACTTGCACAAGTCTCTAAGGTGAAAATTTATAGTATAAATGATAATGGGGTCTTGTACTGTCCACTTATCTAGACTTGCCTCTTCGAAGGATAGAATTACTATACATCCATGGGCTCAGCATTCAGTACAGCCTTGGGGCAAGGCTAGACTAAGTGGTCCGCTTATCTAGACTTGCCTCTTTAAAGGATAGAATTTCTATACATCCATGGGCTCAGCATTCAGTACAGCCTTGGAGCAAGGCTAACCGAATGGGGGCCACAGTTCTTATTGTTCTGAGCGTCAAAATCTGACAAACTATATTTCAGTGACAGTAATCATAATGTATATATAGATCATCAGCGCAAAGGAATATCCAGTCTTGACTATCCTAGGGTCCATTTGGTATAAAGGGCAAATGGACATGCAAATTATTTATTTGGAACACTGAAAATCAATCATGACACCAGATGTTCGCAAAAATGAATTCCAAAAGACACCAGGTGGAGTGCAAATCAGAAATTAGCACCAAAAGCAGAGTCCATTGTACGATTCCAGCTGTATATTGGACATGCTTTTATCAACCAGAAACAAAACCAAGTGTTCGCAAAGTTGGGACACTTGTCACAAACACATGCAAATGCAAGTCAATTGTTCACACTACTAACCATCCCAAAGCCTTACCACCACACTCTTCCTCCCGGTAAACGTACTGCCTCCCAGCAGTGTATAATCCCCTTATCTCGGGTCAGTAAAGCTCGCACTATGTCTGACTAAACTAATAAACAGCATGCTGTAACATATCAGAAGGGTTTGTTAGAAACATGCTCGCCCGCTTGAAACGTCAGAGGAGATGAGTAAATAAGTGGATATTGCTAAAGGCTGTGTGGCAGCTATTCGACGGCGGGAACAAGTTCGTTTATTGTTTCCAATAACCCTGCAATTTTCCAAGCATGATGCTGTGAATTTCCCCTGAGTAGAATTAATTGAAATCGGATGAAATCGGATTCAGATTATTCAAGTAAGGACATGGATGTAGATAAAATCGATAAAATGCTCCAGTTGCCAACATCACACGAAGCCTTAACAGTTAGGTCTTACACATATTGTCCTTTGAAGATAAGAACATTTAAATGCAGTAAAGTTCAAGGATAACGTTTTGATAACTACAAACGGCGAAACACTCGGTTACATAATCACGAGAAAGCAGTGTACGCTTCCAGCTATTTTCTATGTTAAACCTCGAAATCAAAATGAATAAACATGAACCCATGTTTTCCTCCAAAGGTAGGCGTATCCTTCACAAACACATGCAAAGGAAAGTAAGGTGTTCACCTTCAAAAGTTGGTATTTAACGTGGCCATGGCGTCGAAGATTATACTAGTCAATATGTAATGCAAACGAAGTGTATGTGTCATTAACACACGCAAAGGCAAGTCAATTGTTCACCTTAAATAGTTTGTGTTTAACGTCGCGTCAAAGATTATAGTAATCAATATGTAATGCACAATAGGTGGATGTGTCATAAACACACGGAAAGTATAGTCAATTATTCACCTTAAAAAGAATTGAGGTTTAAGGTCGCGCCGAAGATTATTGCGGTAAATATATAATACACCTCAAAACGCTAAACCATGAAGGCGGTACATGTGACGCGAGTGATGCGAGTCAGTGATTAAGGTTTTACGCCGCTTTCAACAATATTCCAGCAATATCACGGCGGGGACACCTGAAATGGGCTTCACACATTGTACCCATGTAAGGAATCGAACCCGGGTCTTCAGCGTGACGAACGGACGCTTTAACCATATACCCCACCGCCCCAGTGAGTGAGTGAGTGAGTGAGTGACGTGACGTGACGTGACGTGACGTGACGTGAATCAGCCTGGATGCATCACGTCTTGTGTGCGACATAATATGGATACCTGAAGTGTTGCTGATCGTGGTTTCTATTTTCTTCTGTTTTCTTATATCAGTCCCAAGGCTCGCACATTCAGACATGTAAAATATCGACGCAGTTGTTGCTGTGGTAACTTACTTTCACGACTTTTTTCTCGCTCATATCAGACTACACTTGCCGCCCTCGGTATGTCAATACTTTTATTTGTCTCCCGAGATTCGACAGGAAAACAGAAGAACCCCCGTGCAGCTATGCTGGCATTTGGTTGTGCAACATTTCACAGTTTTGGCAAGGTCTCACTCAGATGTGGCATTCCGCTTCCTCTGCTTATATTTCTTATATAATGACACCTCGAAGAACAAACAGTTTATCTTCTGTTATATCCAGACCTTCAGGCGCAAAGAGTATATATTATGAGTTGTTCACTGGTCACGAGGGGGACATGGGTTGATGTTCCCTCTATGTTTGTTTATGTTCCTGAGCCCTTCGGGGCACGAACATAGAGGGTACATCAACCCATGGGCCCCGAGGCACCATTGAACAACCTATTTATCTTACCGAACACCTTAACGTTAATTTTGAATTGTTTGAAGCACGGGTATCGGATCAAAATAAGGAGTAGCTGAGTTAGGCAATTAGCCAAAACCGTTATCTCCCTTCCATCGATTTGCATTCGCAAAACATCGGTAATTTCCGTACATCATACGTGACTCAATTATTCGAGATAAAGAATTACTAACACGAGGTACCAAATGAATTCCCACAGTTCTGCATTCCCAGCGGGGAACATGGAAAATGTTATTCGCTTGTAAGCGTGGTACATTGAAAATAATAGAAGAGTGCTCAGCCAATCAGAAAACGACATTTATGTGTTAGGTAAGATAAATATGTATATCACAAAGCCGTACCTTCAGACGCAAAGGGCATATATATCACATACCTTTAGATGTCACACAACTATGTCATCAAGAGTTGATATATAACCACACGTATACTTTCAGGCTCATAAGCCAATATTGTCAAACAACGGTACCATCAATTGCAGAAAGATAATTTCCTTATTAACCAGGGCCTCCTTTCACAAAGACCTAAGGTGATCGTAAGTCACTAAGGTAACCTAAGTGCAATGTTAAAGAATTGGAGTTAAGGTTAACCTTAGTAAAGGTTGCTTCGTGAAAGGAGCCCCAGATCATCAGACGCAAAGTGTAGGTGTTTTCATATAACTAATAACCATATACCATAAAGTGCAAAGAGTTTATGTTTTCATATTACCAGACCGATATTACAAGTCGATATACAGTACATTCAGATGCATAGTGTTGTCATCAACTCTACGTCACGCAGAGAGCTCATGACTTCATATACCCAGACCATCAGACGCCAAAAGGTTATACGCATATTGCTGTTTGTGTACCTTTAGATGCATAATGTTGATGTTGTCATAAACTATGCCATCAATGCAGAGAGTTCCTACTTTCATATAATTATGTACCATCAAGTGCAAAGAGTTAATGTCTTCATTTAACCAGACCAACTGACGACTGCAGCCATACCTTCAGACGCAATATGTTTGTTTCTCTTAGAGCTGTACATGTACCGCAAAATGTTGATGTTTTCATGTAACCAGAAGGTCAAAGAGTTAATATTTCCTCTCGTGAAATAACTTCAGACGCAAGAGGTTGATGTTATCAAACTACACCATCAGGAGCCAATATTTCAGCTACATGAAGGTGGCCTGGAAATAGTCCAGACTGGGGCTTACCATCCACTGATTGATATAT